GTGGCGCAGTGGTTAAGTGCTTGGCCGCTGACTAAAAGGTCGATGGTTTGAATCCACCAGCTGCTCCATGGAAGAAAGGTGTGGCAGTCTTCTTCTGCAAAGATTACAGCCTTGGAAACCCTATGGGGCAATTCTATTCTGTCTTGTAATGTTGTTATGAGTTGGGATTAACTCAACAGCAATGGGTTTGTTTTTTGGTTATATATACATATATTTATGTTTTGGAAGAAGTGTAGCCAGAATGCTCCTTAGAAGCAAGAATGGTGAGACTTTGTATTATGTACTTTGGACAAGTTATCAGGAAGGACCAGTCCCTGGAGAAGGATATCATGCTTGGTAAAGAAGAGGGTCAGCATAAAAGAGGAAGACCCTCAATGAGATGGATTGACACAGTGGCTGCAACAATGGGCTCAAACATAGTAAAAATTGTGAGGGTACCACAGGACTAGGCAGTGCTTCGCTCTGTTGTACATACGGTCATCGTGAGGTAGAAACAACTCAGTGGCACCTAACAACAACGTATGCCTATAGGACAGAGTAGAACTGCCGCATAGGGCTTCCAAGAAGCAGCTGGTGGATTCGAACTGCCAACCTTTTGTTTAGCAGTCAACTTTTTCATTAGCAGCAGTAGCTGTTAACATACACACACACACACACACACACATACATATATACTTATATATGTATATGAATACATATATGTATATCCATATATATAAACTTATATGTATATGTATACACACACACACAAACGTATTCATAAAAAAATAGGTAATAAATACTCTTAAGAATTGCAGTCCTCGTTTCTGCAACTGGTCATGTTGCTGTAGCTGATAAATAAAACTACTATCTTCCACTACTCCTTTCATATTCCCTTTGCTCTCAGTCAGCACTCTGAGTACTCATGGTTCTTTGCCTGCTGGAGTGACCCAAAACTTCATTCTTGAACGGTCTGGACCATTAGCAGTCCTGCCTGAAAACAGGTTGTAGTTTTCCATTGACTAATCACAGGTCGTGATAGTACTAAGAGACACCCTAAGGAATCTCCTATATTCCACACATATTCTATCTCACCTCTATTATGTGATAGTCTAATTTCTCCTTGGTAATCTAGATCAATCACACCAGCCAATTTGCATCAAATGTGTTTCCCACCTTCTGACATGTAGATGTCTTACCAGTAAGTCATCTAGTTGCTCCATCTTGTTTAGTAGGTCCAATCATCATAATTTTATCAATGTAATACACCATAGTGATGTCTTGTGGAAGGGAAAGGTAATCAAAGTCCCTGTAGACTAAATTATGACCTAAGACTTTAGGGTAGTTTCACCCATGAGGCAGTACAGTGAAGGCATATTGATTTCCTTATTAGCTCAAAGAAATTGTTTCTGATGGTGTTTACTAACAAGTGTCAAGAAAAAAAACATTTGCCAGATCAATAGCTGTGCACCAGTTGCCAGGGGATGTGTTAATTTACTCAAGAAGTAAAATCACATCTGGAACAGAAACTGTGATTGGAGTCACTACTTGGTTAAGTTTATGATAATCCACTGTCATTCTCCCTCTCTTTTCTGCATAGATCAAATAGGCAAGTTGAATGGGGATGTGGTGGGAATCACCACCCCTGCATTCTTCAAGTCCTTAATGGTGGCATTAATCTCTGAAATCCTACCAGGAATACAGTATTCCTTTTGGTTTATAATTTTTCAAGGTAGAAGAAGTTCTAGGGACTTCCGCTTGGCCTTTTTTTTACCATAATAGTCTCACTCTATAGGTCAGGGAAGCAATTTGGGAATTCTGCCAATGGATGAGCAGTTTATTCGGCAATTATGCATTCCAGAACAGGAAATATAATCAGAGGATGGGTTCAGGAACCCACTGGACCCACAGTGAGATGAATCTGAGATAAAACTCCAATGATCACCTGACCTCTGTAAGCCCTTATTTT